CGGGCTGCGGCTGCTCCGGCTGGCGGCGGCGTCTACGGGAGGAGAGAGGGCGAGTCGGGCCTCCGTCCCGTCCCCACGGGGGCCGCTAAGCTGGTTACAGGGATGAGGGGCCCCGTGGGCAGTGGGCTGGGCCTGGGAGGGAGCTGGGCTTCCGGGTCACTGGGCAGCTAGGACAGGGCTGGGCAGGACCGACAGCGCGGCGGGAGCCGGGCAGGCCTGTGAGCGGGCAGCGCCCGGAGCCGCGGGTCCGAGCAGCCGTCTTCACACGCGGGGTGCCTTCAGCGGCCTGGGAGGGGCTCAGCCTCACCCCGTCCCCACGGAAGGCGCCATCGGCCCGTTTGGTGGATGCGCACACTGAGGCCTGGGCGAGGAGCCCTGTGTCCAGATCTCGCTTGCAGCAAGCTTGCTTTCTTTCATCCTGCCCTTGGCCGGGGTAGGGGTGGAGGGGGAGGGAGAGGCGCCTCCTAAAGGCTGCCATCCTCTTCACAGGGACAAGCATGGGCTGAGACTCCCCTGGTAAGTTGGGGAGGCCGCCAGCCTGTCCCCACCTCCAGGCCATTTGGCCATTTGATGTGAATAAAGGCACAGAGGGTGACACTTGAGGTGGCCACTGAGTGCCACCTCACAGGTGTGCTTGCCCCCGGCCCCACCTAGGGCAGCGTCCCTGGTACCCTCCCATCCTCCAGTGAGGGACGCTCCCCCAGGGCCCTCCCAGCTCCCTGGACCCTCTGTCCTCTCGTAGCCCTGGAAGAATACTCTGCAGCCTGGAGCTGCTGCCCGCGTGGGCTCGGCTTCTTGGGGAAACCAGGGGCTGGGAGGAGGAGCAGACCCTCGGCCACAGAGGTGGCCTCTCCTCGCTGCCCCAAGCCCTCCCAGAGGCACCATCTGGCCTCAGTACCAGCAGACAGGGTGCTCGCTTCCCCGGCCTTGAACTCTGACCCCGTACGAGGGCACAGGTGGCGAGAGCAGGGCTCTAGGACCCTCAGTGCTGGGGGCCTGAAATGCCAGGAAAAGCCAAGGCAGAGGGCCGAGGCTGGCAGGGATACAGCCTCTCAGGGAAGGCACCGACCAGCCCAGGCACGGGGGAATGGCTGCCTTCCCAGGGCAGATCTGCTTCAAGCCAGTGGCTCTCAAAACCGGGCCCAGACCAGCAGCATCAGGACCAGCTGGGAACGTGTTAGAAACTGGAGTTTTCAGGCCCCTACCCAGGCTCTGGGAGAGGCCCCGAGGAGTGTTCGCACAGGCCTTTGGGCGATGTGCAGATTCGAGTTCCAGAGCTGCTGCTCTAAAGGCATGTGGCCATTCGGAGGGCAGGCCTAACCACAGGACTGGCAGCTCCTCTAATGACGGGTCTGCTGTGCCACACCACGACAGTGGGATGGGACACGGCCCCGGCCCAACACCAGTCACCCGTGGGGCTGTCCTGCCCGGCCTCGGGGAGCAGCTGGCACTGATGCATGGCACACAGGACCCCACTGTGGGTGGGACAGTTTGAAGAGACCTCCAGCTTCTCTAAGCCTGACCCTCATCTTCACACCTTACTCTCTGGATGGCACAGCTTGGCGAGAGGAACCCAGACTGAACGTCAGCCCCCTCGGCCCATCCCCGTGCAGCACCCAACCTCCCCGACCGTATGGCAGCCCTGCGGTTGGTTTCCTGCGGTGGAGAGAGTGCTAGCCAGAGAGAAGGGCGTGGCATCCCTTTGACTTCAGCGCTCCCTTACAAGGGCTCCTTTAAGTGACAAGGAAGGAAAGGTCAGGGTGGGGTGGGATGGGCAGGACTGAGGGGGGGCCGGGGTTGCGGGGGACAGAGGGCAGGCCTGGAATCATGTCAAGTCCTTCTGTGCAAACACTCGTGTGTGCTGTGAGCCCGTGTTATTTACCCAGGCAGGGCCAACTGCCTGCTCTACCCCTGGGGTCCCCACCCTGCCTTGTGCCCACACCCTACCTCCTAGGCAGCCCCACCCCTGGAGCACCCCCCTCAACCTCCCACCCCTCCTTCATCCCCCCCTGCCTGCTGCCCGCCCCATCCACGTCCCCAGGACTCCTGCCACGTTAGGAAGGTCTCCGCCAACACCCTGGGCCACCTGCCAGGGAGACGGGAGCTTGTCCAAGGAGCAGAACTGGCCTGCGTGTGGCCTTGTGTTTGCTAGGCCCCAGCCTCGGCAGGTTGGGGGCAGTGACTCTGTTCCAGGGCACGGTGGCTGGAGGGGTCGGGGGAGTGGCTGGGAGGGCAGGGGCGGCCATTTGCCAGTTGGGACGTAATGGCATTTCCTCGGAACACTTGTGGGGTGAGCCTCGACGCCCTTGCACCTGTGCCCTTGGGAGGGATGCCCGGCCTTAGTGCATCCCTGCCGTGAACGGGAAGTCCAGCTGCAGGTAGATGAGTGGGTGCAGGCCGCAGTCCTGGCCCCAGCTCCCGGGCCGGCAGAGGACTCACACCTGCACCCCAGCTTCCCCTCGCCCCGCTCCCGAATGCCAAGGAACCTGGCCTCCAAGTCTCGGTCCCAGCTCCAACACTGCCTAGTGAAAAAGAAGTTCATGAGTAGCCGACCGTCCCCCGGGAGCCCAGGCCTGGGCGCAGGGACTTACTGGTCAGGGAGCCAGGCCTGCTGTGCCGGCCGGCTGCTTGGGCATCTCTGGGCTGGGCTGGGCTGGGAGAGGGAGCTGCAGCACGGCACTGCCGGGGTGCCGAGCCCGGCGTTCACACGCTCCTCCCCTGACTCGCCTCGGCATGGGGGACGTGGATGCGCGCTTTTATGGATGAAGACGGCGAGGCTCAGGGAGGTGACAGCTGGCCTGAGGAGCCCCCGACGTGACCAGCTTCCCCTCACTGGACCACATCCCCTCTGAAGCTCCTGCTCTGGCTTCTTCTCATCTTCCTAGGGGTCTTCCCACCTCCCGACTGGGCTCCCCGACCCCTGAAGTCCATCCACACCTCCTGGCTCATCCATCGCCTGTCGAGCTCATCCCCCCCGCATGCCAATGTGTCAGACAGCCTGCGCCCGAGGACCTCCCAGGCTCTCCTCTCCGGTGCCTGCCCCGCTGCCTCGGTGGCCGGTGCCCACCTCCGCGCCCACCTCCTACCCAGCTGGAAGGGACCATATATTCTGCCAGCCTTAAGCTTTTTCTTTTTTTCTTCTTTTCTTTCTTTCTTTCTTTCTTTCTTTCTTTTTTTTATTTTTTTGACATAAGATCATCAGAGAGAGACAGAGAGAGAGAGAGGACTAGAAGGAGACCTTCCGATGGGACACGGTCACACCGCAGTCCCTTCCCCTCCCCCTCCCTCCCCAGGATTTGGGGCACGCAGGCTCATGCACTGCCAGGTCTGGGGCTGGTACAGCGTAGTCGGCCATGTAGGATCTGAGTCCCTCGATCACCAAGCCCCGAGGCAGGCCCTATGTGAGGGTCTTGTAGGTGGGGACCATGAGGCCAGAGTCGGGGACAGGTGCGTGGCTGGTCAGTGGCAGGGTTGGACCAGAGCCAGGAGTAGATGTGGTGACCACAAATCCAGGCTCGAAGGAGAGTGGCCTTACTCGTGGGGCCCTGTGCTGTGTGCCCAAGGCTATTTTCTCTCACACTGTCCCCTGGCCCCTTCCTTCACCTCACAGTGCAGCCCAAAGCCCTCCTCCTCCAGGGAGCTCTCCCTAACAGTTCCCTCCTCGGGCTCCGGAGCTGCACCACGCATTCAGTCCATGATTACATCCATGCCGGCTGTCCTGTGGGGACACACGTGCACCTGGGCAAGGGGCAGGGAGCTGCGTGCAGTCCACAGCAGAGCCAGGGCCAGACAGGCGCCTCCTGCCCCTCGGGCCGTGGCTTTGTAGGCCTGGGGTCCTGGGGCAAGCCCGGTGTCCACCAGGTCCGGTTCCTCCCAGCCCTCCCCGCGGCTTCTGCGACAGGCCCCGGGGGCCGCGGTCTCCTGAGCAATGCGTCCAGCTCCCAAACCTCGAGGTGATCTCTTCTGGATTAAGCCACGTGTTGGGATTAAGGCTCGGCGCGTCCTGCCCCGTCCTGCCCCGGAGCCCTGGCTCCCACCCCACACAAAGAAAGCTCGGTAACAGCTGGTGGAGAGAGGACGGGACCGGCGAGGCGTGGCGGCCGGGGACATTAGGTAACCGCATCGGCCCCTGCCCTCCCTCGGGAAGGCAGATCAAGGAAGGAGGGCAGAGGGACCGAGGACGGAGGCTGAGCACCGCTTTTCCTGCCCCTGCGTCCTCTCCCCCCACCCCCCGCCTCCCTGTCCTCACCTGCTGCACCCACCCGAGACCCCTTAGCTCCCAAGTGACAGCCTCAGGGAAAAGAGTCACTAGGGAGCCTTTGCCAAAGCCCCGTGCCTGTGCTGGGGGTAGGAGCCCACCTTCCCGCCCACAACCTGCTGGGTCCAGCCTCCCAGACCTTTGCTCCTGGACGAAGGCAGCGCCCCAGCCCCCACCTCCCTCCTGAGCCCCCTCTCCAGGCTGCACAGAGCCCAGGACCCTGCTTCGGGCCCCACGGAGAAGAGCACGTGGCAGAGTGGGTGGGTGGGGGCCACTCGGAGAAGAGCACGTGGCTGAGTGGCGACAGGGCCACTCAGCTCTTTCAGCCCAGCCTGCCTCGCTCCAGGCTTCCTCGGCGTCCCGCTGCAGCCACTGTCCACACTGCCAGCCCCTCGAGCACACTGCGCCCCCTGCAGTGGGCTGGGCTGGGGCTGTGAGGTGGGACTAGGAGCTGGTGGGAGCCATGCAGAGGGGGAAGGGGCCCAGGCCTGCCCTGCTGGCTGCTCAGCACCTTGGAGAGAAGCAGCTCGGGGTCTGGCTTTCTGGCCCGCCCTGCTGCCCCCGCCCCCGTCCTGCCACCTGCCACTCCTTCGCCCTCTTTCTGCTTCCCAAGTCCCCCACCCTCCCATGGAGCCCCAGCAACCCCACAAGA